ACGAGGAGGAAGGGCGTCCAGGTTGAACTTGCAAGGCTTCCGCGCCCGAGGGCCCCATGTCTCAGGGCCCCATCTAGCTGGCATAGGGCGGCATGGTGCGCGGCAGGAAGTGCTTCTTCAGTGTCTCCACCCGAAGGTCCAGCAGGCCGCCTAAACTCGTCGGCGAGCGAGGGGGGGAAGTGAGAAGGACGAGGCCTTCCCAGAAGGCTCGGAAGTCCTCCAGCCTTCCAAGAAGTTTCCTAAGCCTTCCGCGACGATACAGAACACCCCTCAGAAGGCATGATGATGGTTTCTGAAAAGTCCAGCCGTTTTGTGAGAAGGCCATCTTCTTCTCACTTCCCCCCTTCGCTCGCCGTCGTTTTGCGGGACCAGAACAGGCGGGGACGGAGGATCGCGCCGCATCGCTGGTGCATTGACGATTCGACGCTATCCTAGGCCAGATTTGTTCAACCCCGACGTCGTCGATGCACCGGCGATGCGGCGCGATCTTCTGACCCCATCCGCTCCACTCCCATTCCAAATGATCCGACGTCAGGAAGAACATACAACATTATGATAAACACGACAGGATCCGTTGACCACGCTTTTCCGGGGCATCTTTCAGACCAGATCACTCTGCGAGGGCCCCAGGGCCCGAAACAGAGGGAAAGCGCCAAGCGTGCAGAAAAAGCGACGCCTGGATCTCTGGGCCTGAACTCGGCCACGCGCAGAGGTGGGTAGGGGGAGGGGGGAAGGCTTCTCAGAAGCACTTGATCTTCTCAGTAGGCGCGGGCCTGATCTAGAGACGTAAGGCCAGCGCTTTCTAAGAAGCAGCGTCCTTCTAAGAAGCCTTCCCTCCTCTCCTGACCCCCTTTGTGCGCGCCGCCAATCCCAGACCCCCGACGTCGTGAGTTTTCCGCAACGTCGACCCCCAGAGGTCAGGACCCCTTCCCTGGTTCTGCGTCGTTTTCTGACGGTCCCGGGGCCCAGGAAGCACCCCAGAGGCCGAAACGGGCGAACGACCTCCCGTCGTGATTTTTCGCAGCGCGAGGGGGTCTGGGCCTTTTTCGCGCGCCGACCATGAGCGGCCTCCACAAGGGTGCCTCCTGGGGTCGGAGTAGCTGGGGTCGGAGGGTCGCGCCGCATCGCCGATGCGTCGCCGATGCGGCGCGATGCGCAGCCCGACTCTCTCCATGCCGACGTCGCTGGTGCCTCGCCGACGTCGCCGGGGCATCGCCGCTGCATCGGCGATGCGGCGCGAGCCTCCGAAGCCAGGTGCTCGGACCCCACCTGGGAGGCCTCTACAGTCGGGGCCCTGAAGAAGGAACTCTTTTGGTTGGGGAGGGGCTCCGCGTTCCTTAAGTGTTTCGCAGCTTGCCTCAGGCTTTCCTTATGTTTTCGACAGGAAATCGAAGGTTAACTTATGGAAAAAAGGGGCCTCGTTCCTTATTTAGGGTTCCTTAGGTCAACGCCCCGGCTGTAGTTTGCGCGCCGCCAATGGGCGGCCTCCGCCAAAGGTGCCTCCTGCTCTCCCTCCTGGCCCTCGCGGTCCTCAGCGGGCTCCGGCTGGCCCTCGTGGGCGCGCCAGGCCCGGGGGCCCCCGAACGGGGTGGTGGCCACGCCGTGCGGTGAGTCGGCGGGGATTCGGGGTCACCGCACGGTTTTGGGACTCGGGTCGTTCGCCGAGGACGTCTCGGGCGACTGGGGCACCCGAGGTCCCAAGACCATGCGTTGACAGACCGTGCGGTGAGGTCTTGGGGGATTTCGAGGTCACCGCCGCGCCCCAAGCTCCTCCTCCTCCTCCTCCCTCCTCCTCCTCCTCCTCCTCCTCCTCCTCCTCCTCCTCCTCCTCCTCCTCTCCCTCCTCCTCCTCCTCCTCCTCCTCCCTCCTCACTCCTCCTCCTCCTCCTCCTCCTCCTCCTCCTCCTCCTCCTCCTCTCCTCCTCCTCCTCCTCCTCCTCACTCCTCCTCCTCCTCCTCCTCTCCTCCTCCTCCTCCTCCTCTCCTCCTCTCTTCTCCTTCTCTTCTCCTCCTCCTCCTCCCCCCCTCCTCCTCGGGGGTCCGTCACCGCGCCGTTGCGGGACCCCAGCCAGGCCGCGCCCCAAGCCCACCGCCGCCCGAGCCCACGGGCGCGGCGCAGCTGGCCGGGGAGGCGCCCGCGGGCCCCACGGCGCCGGCGGGGGGCCCCGCGGGCGGCCGCCCGGCGCCGCGCGCCCTCGCCCTCGACAGCGAGCAGGGGCGCGAGGCGTCCCGGCTTCGGGGGTGGACGGACCTCCTACCCGCGCCGCGGATCTCCTCTGCCGCGCCGCGACGGGCAGAGTCTGCACGCTGCCTGGCTCGCCCCTCTGACGTTCAGCTCGTCCTCGCCCCGCGCCGGACAAGCCGCACACCCGAGCCGAGGTCTGAGACGTTGTCCCGTTGCCCCCCAGAGATGTCGGAGGTTGATAGACCTCCTACTAGTACCCTGACACGTCGATTAAGGAATTGGCCGTCTTCGCTTCGCGAGAGGGCGTCGCGGCCGTCCTTTTTGCGGGTCCGGGTCCGTCGGTTTCGGTCCCAGGCCGTTTTCACGAAGGGGAGGTCTACTAAAGGGAGGTGTGTCCATCGCCGATGGCTCGCCTGGAGGCCAACCAAAGGAATGTGTCAGTCGGGCCTGTCCCTCTAGCAGGAGGAATACAGTCAAAAACCCTAATCAGGACTCTCAGGGTACCCTTGCGTCCTTGCTCTTCCTTGCTCTTGCGTCCTTGAGGTTTTCGTCGTCCGCCGCCCCAAAAATCCCAACTTCGGCTTCCAAGGGTCTTGCGTCCTTGCCGCGCGTCCTTATTAGGGTTTTGACTGCATTCAGAAATAGCAGAAAAATAGTCAGGGGACGAGTTCGTGTTGTAGTTTTGGGCATTATTTGCGTATGTTTCGCGTGTTTTTTCGTCCAGGATCCCTCTGTAGGAGGACATGCCCGACCTAAGGCGAGGCGTCCTGGCTCGCCTGGAGGCCCAGCAACGAATGTCCTAAACACCTTTTGTGGTCTGCACGAAGTGCTTTTGGAGCAGTTCTGGCCGAGGCTGTCTCGGTTTAGCACCTCGGATGTATGTTCTAAGATCATTGCTTTTGTTCTTCGAATATGAGGAGGAGGAGGAGGAGGAGGAGGAGGAGGAGGAGGAGGACGAGGAGGAGGAGGAGGAGGAGGAAAAGGAGGAGGAAAAGGAGGCTTAGGTTCCGAGAACGTCTTGTGGCAGGCCTGTAGGAATGCTGGGACGGCCGGCCCCTGCTCAACGCCAGCGGAGGCCCGGGAAGCCGCACGAGAGGAGGAACACTTCGGACCTCCGCGGAGGCTGTGCGCCAGACCCCCTCCCCACAGCTGCGCACCCCTTGCTTCGGTGGTGCCTCCAGCGTCGACGATGCGTCTCGACGTAGAGCCGTGCTTCCCCACGCCGACGTCGCCGATGCATCGCCGACGTCGCCGATGCTTCGCCGATGCATCGGCGATGTGGCGCGATCCTCCGACCCCATCTACTCCGACCCCATCTAGGAGGCCTCTAGTGCCTCCAGTTCGCCGCCCCCGGCGCGGGGTCTATCACTGGCAGGCAGTCGCTCGCGGACGTCTGGAGTTCCGGTTCGTGTGTGGCTTCCTGGCCCTCCGGGCATGGTGGGTATGTCGCTGTGGGCGTCCCCCAGCCGCGACGTGTGCAATCCGAAGGGCCACGACGAAGAACGCCGCCCCCCCTCCGGCTCGAAGGCGTTCGCCAGGAGGCTGGCTGCATGCAGGGATCCAGTCGATTTCGTCGTCTTTGCCAACCGCACCTTTGACGTCGTGAAGCCGGCGCGCTGCGCACAGACCCGAGCGAGTGCAAGCGAAGACCCGATGCGCCTGAGCGTGTTCTGGACGGTGGGCCCAGGGCTCTACTCGGACGAGGTGATTCGCGAGCAACTGGCGCTGCTGGACTCGTCCGGCCTGGCTGCCAGAGCGCAGGCACTGAGAGTCGGCGCGCACGACTACTACGGGGCCTCGTGGCAGGACGACGTCGGCCGAGATCTGCGGCAGAACGCCAGCAGGGCTTACCCGTGGTCTCCCAAGCTCCAGGCCATCAGGCTCGGCTCTGCTTCGGAGGCATGGTGGAGCCAACAGGAGAAGTTCTTCGAGTTTTATACGCTGGAGGGGCTCTGGTCGCACTGTCAGCAGGCTCGGCAGCCTGACAAGGAGGCTGTGCTGTACATTCACACCAAAGGCAGCACCAACGGTAAATCTGCGTGGCGGCACATCATGTCGCATTTCACCGTCCAGCATTTCCAGGATTGCGTCGACCAGCTCCAGTGCGGCGCTAGCACATGTGGATCAAACTTAGCGAACCCTCTTGGCAAGGCAAAGTGGAACTTCCCACACTACAGCGGCAACTTCTTTTGGGCGCGGTGCGACTACATTCGTTTGCTTCCCAATCCGCAGCCGAAAAGCAGTGATTTGAGCTTAGCAGGTGGCGGTTGCCCCTATGGGGACCCACCCACTGGACGATACTTGGCTGAATGGTGGCTCATGGGGAGCAACAGAGACTATACCCAAACTCGTGTCTACAAGAACTGCTGGGGATCTCAGTCCTCGGTGCGGTTCTGCAGAGATGCGCCTTTCAAGGATGTCTGGGCATCAGGAAGTCAAACGTGCAATCTCGGACGGAACACTCAGATGGCTCCGTGGGCTTCCCCTTGCTTGGGAGAAGATGGAGTGGTGGAGGGGGGGAAGAGGTCGAGCTGGAGGAGGAAGAGGGGAGGATGATCGGACAGTGCAGGGCGGAGGGGGGAAGATGCACTCTTAGAGTACTTAGGCTGCTTCCCTTACGTGGCCCATACTCTGGCTTTGTGGACTGTCCTCAGGACGTTCCACGTTGTGCTGCATCGAGCTGAAGAAGGACCCCTTCATGACCGTGAGTGCATGGCGCCATCCAGATTCCGATATGTGAGTGAAGTGGCGCAGGAGGTCAGATATTGTGATCGCCGAGTTCGTCGGCCGTGCACGCCATCTTCAGCCGCTTGTTCACCCGCCAGCCACGGACAGGTCAACGTACGACGGTGGGCTGTTCGTTTCAGTGTCTCTCAGCCGGAAGCCGTCGACATTCCGTAGTGCCCCACGAGTGCATCCATGCTTCACCTACGCGTAGATGTGTTTCGTGTGCCAATCCAGGCCGCACATGCACGATTACTATTCGTGCGGCCGCCCAGCAACGCCGATATCATACCAATGGGAACGATGGGAAGTTGGTCATGCCAAGTCTGATGCGTTGCGTGGGCCAGCAGTGCCTGAGGTGTTCCTTCGTAGGTGAGAGGCGCGCGTCACGAGGCAGAGAAGCTCCCTCTCATGGCACAAGTGGAATCATGCCTCCTCGTTCCATCTTGCCCTTCTCATCCCCCAGCTTCCTACGTGGCGGTGGGCGCATTGTCCTGCTTCCTCATTGCCCCCGTCGCCCATTCCCTCGCGATGCGACCGGCACGATCCCACGCAGACTCCTTACCGCGAGAGATGTTCTGGGTAACAGCACGTGCCTGCGAAGCTCCTCAGCCCCAGCGGTTTCGATCGCAGCTTTCCGTTTAGCCTATCTGGCACGGATCAGCAAATCAATCTTTCTGGCCAAAATGGATTGAACCGCTGTTCACTGTTCGAGGTCCAGAAATCCAGCTGCCTGCGGCAATTCCCGCCACTGAGCCCAGCACTCGGGGTGGCGATTGGCCAAGAAGAGCACAAGAAGCCGTAACGTGTGACACCTCGTGCCACGAGGCTGTGTGTGTGGGGGGGGGGCGGTAGACTGTGGTACGCTCTTCCACGTTGTGTCGGGGTGTCTCTCCTCGTGTTCGTCGTCGTCGTCCTCCCTTCCTCTTCTTCCGTCCTCTCTTGGGGCCTCTTGGGGAATCTGGGGGGCCCTCTGGGCGCATCTTGGGGCTCCTTGGGCTGCCTTAGAGCGAACTTGGGCAGTCTGTCGCCTTCGAAGTCAGTCTTGGGGTCTTCTGGGCAGCCTTGGGGCCCTCTTGGGACTCTGAAGGGTCGTCTTGGAGGTCACGTGGGCCTACGTGGGCCCTCTTGGGGAGTCTTGGGGCCGTCTGGAAGGCCGCTTGGGGCATCCTGAGGGCCTCCTTGGGCCATCTTGGGGCCGTCTTGAAGGCCGCTTGGGACATCCTAAGAGCCTCTTGGGCCGTCTTGGGTTTCTCTGGGACCCCTTGGGCCGCCCTGAGGACGTCTTGGAGGTTTCGTGAGCCGCCTTGGGCTTACAGAAGTCCGAGAAGGTGAGCACGCGAACATCCGCCAACATCCAACACATCAAGAGTTGTCATGACCTCTGGCTCTGCACGTAGGACCCACGAGGGTGATCACCAATGGGTCAGCGCTTAAACCCTCTCCCCCCCCTGCGAGCCGCAGCCCCTGACCCAAGCCGAAGGGAAAACAGGCCGCTGATGGTCACGCCTGGCCGCCTTCGCGGGCGGGCGCGCGCAAGGCGACGACGCTGCAGTGCAGAGGGGAGGAGGAGGAGGATGAGGAGGAGGAGGAGGAGGAGGCGGAGGAGGAGGAGGAGGAGGAGGAGGAGAAGGAGGAAGAGTAGGAGGGGGAGGAGAGGAGAGGAAGTAGAGGAGGAGGAGGAGGAGGGGAGGAGGAGGAGGCGGAGAGGAGGAGGAGGAGGAGGAGAAGGAGGCGGAGGAGGAGGAGGAGGAGGAGGGGGAGAGGAGAGGAGGGAGGAGGAGGAGGAGGAGGAGGAGGGGAGGAGGAGGAGGAGGAGGGAGGCGGAGGAGGAGGAGGAGGAGGAGAGAGGAGAGGAGGAAGGAGGAGAGAGGAGGAGGAGGAGACGGGGAGACGAAGAGGGCGCCCGTCAGCGGCAATATCTGTGCCCTAGGCCTCACGCAAAACGCAATTGAATGCACGGTCTCGGAGGAAGAGGGGGAGGACGAGGAGGAGGGAGCAGGAGAGAACCGGACGACGGAGGAGGTCAGTACGCGGTCGTGGAGTGTGAGCTACCCGACCCCACCGTTGGGCGCACGAGCATTGGCCTGAGGCAAGGAGCGGGGAAGGAGCGGGGCAGAGAGGGGAGAGAAGAAGAGGAAGTGAAAGAAACGCTACGGGGTCACATCGACGAACGTGACTGCAGAGCACAGAAGGGACAAAGAGGAGGAGGAGGAGGAGGAGGAGGAGGAGGAGGAGGAAGAGGAGGATGAGAAGGAGGAGGAGCAGGAGGAGCAGGAGGAGGAGGAGGAGGCGGAGGACCAGTGTAAGCCCCAAGGTCATCAACGATGTTGGCATACACCCTCCCTCCGAGCTCCCTCTTCGCAGGCCCCTACACGGGTTCATTTCCACTGAGGGAACTGCTTTTTTGGAAGACAACCGATTGAAGATCCGGGAGCATGCCAAAACATTATTCTCGGGATTCCAACGCCACGGATCAATCTGACTGTTGCGTATTCACGATCCAGAATTGTGCCAGAACACCATTCTGGGATTTCAACACCGCGAATCAACGTGATTGTTGTACCTTCATAGTGTTGAATCTTTCCAATACGCAAATTCTGGTACGTTGACCATGGGATTCCGTGACAATCTTGCAATGTTTAAGAAAAATGCGCCGCGCGAAGGCGAGTATCACACTTCGAAAACGAACCGCCCTCAGTCGGTGAACCCCCTGCAAATTTTGAAAACGAATGTGCGTGGCGCTAAGGCGAGATCCACATCTTGAAAGCGAGCTGAATTCAATCCTTGAAAGTCTAGCACTGAAGAAAAATGTGTGCGGCGCTAAGGCGAGAGCCGCATTTTGAAAACGACTCACCCTCAATCCGTGACGCTCCTGAAAATCTGCAAAACGAAAGTGCGCACGAAAGTGCGCGGCGCTAAGGCGAGAGCCCCATTTTGAAAACGACCCGCCCTGCATCTTTAAAGCAGTTGCCAACTTTTGAGCTTCAGAGTCATAAATGGTGAGGCAGTCTCAGGCGAAATGCCCGGCCCGCCCTTTCGACCGGCCTCGGTGTGCGACAGGGAGAAGTTATTTAGAAGGAAATGGAATGGCTGATGGCGGCCGACAGCTGCTGGAACAGGCGCTTCGCTCTGGTGCCTGGCTCCTCGCCCAGCCGCGCGTCGCGGGCCTGTGCCAGACGTCGGACACTCTCGGCCCCCGTCGGGCCTCAGCTGCCCGAGGCCTGGGCACAGAGGGGGATGAAGAGAGCCCCCTGCTGCCCACAGAGGGCCTCCGCGTCGAGGTGGTTGCGCTTTTTTGCCGCCTCGTGCTCGCTGGCAGCGCGCCCCCTCCCTCCGAAAGCTGAGCCCCGGGCAGCCTGCCGGAGCAGCAGCAGGCGTGCCTAGGTGCCAGCTCGGGATGTACACGTCGGTGGGCTCCTCTGGCTCGAACAGTAGCCCGAGCTTGTCGTTTTGCGCCGCCTCCAGGAAGTCCGACGCGCCCGGGAGCTGCTCGGACAAGATGTCCGCGCGATCGGTAGCACCGAGGCCCTCGTAGAAGTGACTCTGCCAGTACTCGTCGAGGGCGGCGGAGAAGTTCTTCTTCTTCTTCGTCTTCTTCTTGGCCCCCTCGAGCGTTTCTGGGGGCTGGGAATGGTAGGCGGCGAGGGCAGCTCCGGCCCGTGCGCGGTCGTCCTCCAGCGCCCAGGTCTACGCCGAGTCCAGCTTCGCTCAGAGGCGCCGCGTGGCGTCGAGGCTGGCCAAGTATAGAAGCGCCGGCCGAGTGGGCATCCAGCCGCCGCAGCCCCAGGCCGGCGCACGCGAGCCCCCGAGAGGCCTGGTGCCACTGGGCCTGCGTCAGGTCCGCGGCCAGCAGGCCTCCCGAAGCGGCCCTCGCGTCGTCGTAGCCGCGGAGAGCGCCTGGGGGGGGGGCGAACAACACAACACAACATCCGAGGGAATCCTTGGGGAATCCTTGAGAATCCCTAGGGGATCCTTAAGAATCCCTAGGGAATCCTTAGGGAATCCCTAGGGAATCCCTAGGGAATCCTTAGGGAATCCTTAAGGAATCCTTAGGGAATTCCCTAGGGACGCGCTGTAGACAATCTTGCAGGAGGATGGCACTGCGGGTGGAGGGCTTCCTGCGTGGCCCAGGCCGGTTCGGCTTTGGAGGCGCGGCGCTCAGTGAACGCCTCCGTGAACGCCGGGTCCCGACTGGCGCCCCGAGGAGCCAGAAACCGCCCCGCAAGGCCACGCGACAGGCGCTGGTGTCAGAGTCCGTCAGCAGCGGCGCTGGGAAGAGTCGGGCCAAGGCGTCCAGCGCCCTCTTTAGTCCCTCGCCAGCTCCTCCAGAACAGGGTGCACGGCCAACGAAAAGAAGAGCTGCCCCAGCGGGTCCCTCTGCTGAGCGCCAGCCTGGGGGGACAACGCGTGTGAGCCGAAGTGGAGCTGCGAATGTTCCGCGTAGGTCCAGCTCGCCCACTGCTCCAGCTCTGGGAGGCGACCATCCACAGCTCGCAGCTCTTCGTCCCGCCGCAAGGTGCTGAAGGCGCTCGCAACATCCAGCTTGAGTACAGTGGAAACCCACGCCAAGTCCAGTTTGAGTACAGTGGAAACTAGGAAACATTCTGCTTGCCTCCAGGGGGCCCTTGGTTTCTAGGCCGTTGACGGTTCTGCAATGGAAGGCGTGACGCCCCCACACCAAGAATCCATGGACGTCCTGGGGCCTCAGGATTGGGCTTCTTGTGGAATGTTTCTTTGTGGAAGATCTCTTGTGGTCGGGCCACTCCTGCAGAGCCTCCCTGCCTGGGTCGCGGTGGCGCTCGCGCCACTGGCGGACAGCGCGGACCTGCTGCCCCTGCGCCCAGCGGGCGGCGGCACCCGGCCGGCAGCGGCCGGCGCGTCGGCCTCGCCCCTGCCCTCCGCGTGGCCGCACAGGGCCTCGCCCGTGAGGCGACGGAGCACCTCGCCGACTGCGACCGGCCGGACGCCGCAGTCCTCTCAGAGCCCCGAATCATCAGGGGTAACTCGGGTCAGGGCTAACTCGGGGTCCTTTTCCGGGAATCCGAGCCCGACTTACCCCCGGACCCGAGTTACCCCGGATAACTCGGGCGTCCAGAGCCCCACAGCATCAGGGGTGACTCGGGTCAGGGCTAACTCGGGTTCCGTTTTCGGGAATCCAAACCCGAGTTACCCCGGACCCGAGTTACCCCGGATAACTCGGGCGCCCAACCCTCCTTCTCTCAGAGGATTAAAATGGTACTCCTACCCTCACCCTGCTCCCGATGCCCCCTTGTTGGGCCTCCTGGGAGGCCCTCTCGCAGACGGCCGCACGCGCGGCAGGCGAGCTGGCGTCGAGCAGGTTCTGCGCTCGCCGCCCCGAGGGCCCCGGATAAGTGCAGTGCCTTGAGCACGGCGTTCGGCGCCAGCTCTGGTGCAGCCAGGAGCGCGTCCAAGTGCCTGAGCGGCTCGGCGGGCGCCCTTGGGTGCAGCCGCTTCCAGGCTTACGCTGTCTCCTGGGCTGGCTCGGCCAGTCCCCTGGCAGTCAGCGCCGCGCACCCCTTGGCAAGGAGACCCTCTGCGGCGAAGGCCGCGGAGCGGGCGGCCCGAAGCTCGCTGGTGGACTGGTCGGCCGGACGGCGGCGGCGGCCAGGCTGCGTGTCGCAGGCCTCCTGCCAGACCGTCAGCCGCTCGCCTGTCTCCC